TGTTCCACGTAGTCTGTGAAGAAGCAGGCATAGCTTGGACCCGTATGGGTGCCCATAGCCACCCCCTTAGTTTGTTGGAAGAATCTGAGCACATGGGTGTTGGTTTACTTTTGGTGAGGGGTTTTAAGTTAGTGAGGCCAGACTTTGTGGAATAATTTTAATCATCTGTCTGATGGAGTGCTAATAGAAATTTGTTTTATTATATTGGGATTTACAACACAGAAGATTTCAAGGCATTTGATTAGCAAAAACTAGCATGTGCAAGGCTTTTTTGTTTTCCCCTTTTTCAGTTCAGAAGACCTGACTGAAGCAGGTACAATCTCTTAGAAAGGCTGTTCAGAGCATTTAGGAAAGATATGTAACACAGTGAATGGGTGTAGTGTCTGAAAGGTTTAGATAAGGAATATTTGATTAAACGTTCAGCAGGTTACTAATGGACTGACTAAGTCTAAAGATTGCTTGAGTGGTCAAGAGGAAAACGGCCCCCTAGCTTGAAGGAGCTGTCATGAAGGAAGCAGTTAAGTCAAATGTACAGAATAGAGGAAGGAAAATGTCTCTGGATTTTGATTAACTAGGGAGTAGTTGGGATTTTCTGTTGCTGTGTTTTGAATCATTAAAACTGCTATAGCTTGTTTTGCTTTCTTTTTATTTTGTTCAATGAACTCTTTTATTGTTACAACTAAATTGACAGTCTTCTGTGCTTCTTTCAGTGAAAGATAACCAGACTAAATAAAACTGGGTCAGGGGAGGTGAAGAATGTACCAAGTCAGATATGTCCCAGACTGAAATCTGCCATGTACAGTAGCAGCACAAGATGAAATCTCAGCCAAATACCTAAGGCTTCCCCAGGAGCTCATTAAATTTGCCTGAGTCGCTGAGTCAGTATAATCACTGCTGAGTTGGTCTCTAATCTTAAGTGGGAAATAAGTGGTGCTGCATTTGTCAAGCTAGTTTCAGTTAACATAAATGTGAAGGGGTTTACTTAGTGAGATTATGGCTGGATGTTTTTTAAAAAAATTCAAATTCTTTACGCTCTGTTTTGTGCCATATCCTGTATCTCTGAAAATGTAACAGTTGATCTAGTATCCATTGTTTGTGGAGTGGAATTTCAAATTTGCACCACCTATTGTCTAGATGTGTTCAGTGTTTTCTGATTTCACTTTTTTTTTGATTTTAAGTCTGCCTCCAATCTTCAGACTGGAGTGCCTAACATTAGGGAGACCCTCAGCAGAAATGGTTTTTATTTCTGTCCTATCTGTTCCCATTTAACATCCTAAACTTTGATCATAGATCATTAGAATCCCTAAGTGCAGAAACAGGCCCCTCGGCCCAACAAGTCCACACTGAACTTCAGAGCATCCCACCCAGATCATCCCCCTGTAACCCACCTAATCTACACATCCCTGAACACTATTGGCAATTTAGCATAGCCAATCCACCTAAACTGCACACCTTTGGACTGTAGGAGAAAACCCACACAGACACTGGGAGACTGTGCAAACCCCACAGTCGCCTGAGGGTGGAATTGAACCCAGGTCCTTGGTGCTGTGAGGCAGCAGTGCTAACCACTGTGTTGCCCCTTAAATTGTTCCTTTTAAACCCTGTTTAAATTCCATGGAATGCAACTCAACTTTGAGATCTTGTAATTTAACTACTGGGGCTCTAGTAAATCACCTTTTGCATGCCTTCCAAGGCCAACAGACTTCCTAAGGGGGGCTCAGTACTTGCAGTTCTACAAAGCATTGGCTACAAACCACTGAAACATAACTACTTCCTCTAGATATAAAAAGGGCCTAGTTCTGTTTTTTCTGTTCACAATATTTTAATTGTACCTGAATCTTTGTTATAGCTTATCACCATTGGTCCAAAATTATGACCTTTCAGTTGCTTAACTTAAATTGTTTTGTGCATTTTAAAACATTTGTTGGAGACTGGTTTTCATCTATTACTGCACTTGTGCTAACTAAATTTGCTCATGGGCAAATTTTATGTGCTTTCTATTCTAACACTAAAATCATGCACAAGAGTCTCTGACTTGCATCAGAAGGTACAATCGCTGCACATGCAGTTGTCTGCATCATAGGTTGCACAGACCAAACTTTGCTTGAGGACACGCAGGAATCTTTCAAGCAGAGGACAAACAGTGGGCATGTGACAATAACATTAGCAGCGAGAATACTGACTTTTCACTAGTGGATGCCAAATGGATATGTGAAACTCCTCTTGTTCTGTCCCAAGACTTTTATTAAAATATTGTGCACAGTTGAGGCCTCAGCATAGAGCTTTGCAGTTGTCATTATACTGGCAAATTATTTCTACTGTCTCCTCCCAGTCTACCAATTTCCTAACCTGGGCAACTGTTTTCCTTTTTTTCCATTAACGTAACCAAAAATGTCTGGAATAAGTAAATGTGACAATGATAACTTTTCGGGAGCAATTTCAAAAGACAGTTAACAGTAGCCTTTAGAACTAAAAGTATTTGTGTAGCAAAAGGGAAGTAAGCCTTTTCATAAATGAAATCTATTATGGTGAGTATCTTTAGAACGTTTTTAATTCTAAATGACTAGGTAAGCAAATCTTGGTGTGATGAGTTGTTGCCACTAATGAAGATCTGGGTCTGTTTGGACCACTTGCAGTGAGAAAAATTTTAAACATCAAATATCTTTATTTACAGAGCATGTCCTGAATGTAGAGTAGTGGCCAGTTACTTCATACCATACAAGTACTGGGTGGTTGATGAACAGAAACAAAAACTTATTGAAAAATTTAAAGTTGAAAAGCGGTATGTATGCCTAGAGGTACTACAGTATCTCGGTATTTCTAATCCTACTTGCTAAATCTGAATGTGCATGAACATTATAATTTTCCATCAAGTTTAAACCTTAAACCCTTTGCAGTCTAATTTCACCTTGGTTTAAGTTCAGAATTGATGTTTAAAATACAACGATCGTCATATAAAACTCTTTGGAGTTTAGTCTCAATAGGACCTGCCAGGTGTGTGCACTTTGTTTGCATATATAACCTTCACTAGCAATATGTCATTGAAAGCCTGATGTTTATCTATTTTAGTTTTATCTGTAACTAAACTTTAAATCTTTTTATAGAAAATGTTGGAAGTACTCCAGCTGGGGAGTTGCTCTTGCTGGAGAGTGCCAGGTCACTTAACCTTTTCATCAGAACTGGTAACTGGTTATGCCTAACAGTATAACTGAACAGGGGAGCATAGGTACAAAAGTCTTCAGTGAGAAATGCGATTTGCATGGTAAATTGGTATGATGTCAAAAGGTGATAACAAACAAGTACTAAAGAGCTGTGAATATCATAATGAAGAACTGCTGTCCACTTGCAAAGAGAGGAAACCAAAGTGAGGGCAGAGATTGATGTAAGGCTGGGTAAAGCTGAGAATAAGGGGTTTTGCCCTTATTTGGGAAGGGCAGGGTTGAGTAGAAGTCTGGCAAACTGGATGAATGTACAGATCTGAAGCAGGATCACTGGACCCAAAACATTTAACACTGCTTTCTCTCCACGATACTGCCAAACCTACTGAGCCTTTCCACCAATTTTTTTCTTGCTTTCTTTCTTTCCCCTAATGAATACACTACTGCTTTGTGAATGGCAGCAGTTCACTGTTTTCCATTTAGACCCATTTCTCAAGTCCATCGCTAGTCTCTCTTTGGCCTTGCAGCACCAACCCTTTTATCACTTGGTGCCCTTGACTTCCAGATGGTGTAAAGATGGGAAAATGAAGCTGAGGATTGAGATCAGCCATGGTAGACCATTCTCAATGGACTGACCTGTTTCTGTTCCTACGTTTTATGGTCCCTCTGAAACATGACACACTTGTTACCCAGTGACTCCAAAGAACTTCATGACGACATTTCTCCAAGACTTGCCGTAACTAATGTCAAAAACTGGTACTCTTGTAGTTTAGCATGTTGCCTATTAACACATTTGTGGTCATTACATCCTGAGGTGGGACATGAAAACCTTCTGGTGCGAGGATTTCACAGATCACCAGGTCACCTACAATCTGAATAATGTCTCAGATTTTACTTTTTTAAACATTGTTTTAGTTGACCCACTTAAGCTTGCTTTTTTTTTCTGGAAAGTGTTTAGGATAGGTGCTTTTAGTCATAAAGGGCTTTTGAATCTCTGAAGCTAGGTATATGCATTCTGCAGTTTTGTAAGTGCAACTGAGTTATTTAACAACTTCCAGGTTTGATATTTGTTTTTTCAATAGCATGGCCCACATTTTCATCCCCTCTCCTCTTTATGTTAAAGTGTATTATCACGGCAATGACTGACTTGGCTGTTTTGTTTTAAACAAAGTTAGTCTCAATCTAGAAGGTTCCAAATTTAAACCCCAGTTGACAATTTTTTCTTTTGTTGAAGTAAAAATAATGCAATTAGTCTCTACATTGCAGTTAATGTTCCTGATCATCTGCTCCTCCTGGTGGGTAGATGTTTCTGTTTGGGTTGCCCTCTGTTCATGTAGCTTAATAAAACATGCAATCTGGCTGGCACATGAAGCAGATTTTTGGGACTGTAACTGGCATTTGTGATAAATTCTGGAGATGGCCTTTGGAGTTGAGAACAGTTGATTTGCCTCTAACACCATTTTTTTTTCCTTTTCCACAGGAAAATACATTGCAAATTTTTTCTACGAAGTAATGGCAGATGTCCTTTTAAATCTGAGTGCATTTACTTGCATGAGTTTCCTGAGGGATATCGACCTACCCAGCATCGACAAAGGAGGCGAAGGGATAGTGTAAGGATGTGGCATATATTGTGGCATAAATAGTGATATGTTCTGTGTTGTGTTTAATGAGTGAGTATGATTACATACTGTATATGTCTAATCATCACCTTGGTTTCCAGGCAAATTAAACTAGAAAGGGTAAGCCTGCATTAATTTGTCTTCAGTAGCCTTTTTGTATGTGTAATAATGACACCAAAAGACAATGTCTTGAAAAGGAATGTAACCTTTAAAAGGACTGAAGTAATTTCAAATCTTTATTGATGTTTGGTCAGTAGTTTTAACCTTGGTACAAAGTAGCATCATTTGTGTGTTTACACACTGAAGCCTATTAACTGACTGGACAAATGCAACACAACTTTTACTGCAGATAAAAATTATTTGAAAAACTTAAAGTAAAAAGACTGGAGATTGTATTTGGGCTTCACATCTACTGTCTGTAGTTTAGCATCAGTAACTGGTTGGAAAAACAATTTTTTTTCCACCTCCTGTATACAATAGATTTGGAGGGTAGTAAATGCCACGTTGTTTGACAAATATTTTTCAGACCACTGAATATGAAACAAATCATAACCGGTTTAGTCGAACAGACACTTGGGGGGGGGGGGGGGGGATGCCTGTGGTGTGGCGACAAAAGAAGTAATACTACTTTCAAAGCAGACACAAACACGCTGGCCTGAATGGTTGCTTCTCATGATGTAAATTTTCATCCTGTTTTAACTTAACTGAACTTGTGATCTTTACACAGGGACGCAAAGGATTAAGGGGAATGTATTTATTAAGACTTTTTTAAATGATGATTTTTCTGATAATCACATTTGGGATGTAGCTATACATTCTAAATAACTGGACAAATTCAATTGGCCTCAGCACTCCAAGCATTTGGTGTAACATCCAGTTAAGATTCCTATTCTGTGCAGTACAAACTAGCTAACTTGCTGAATTTATAGTATTTGTATTTTGTAATATGCCAATGTTCTTCACTTTGACTGGCAGACTTTTCACCTGAGAGGGAGGGGAATGAACTTCTGTTTTTTTTTGCCAGGTGGTTCTCTAAACAATGTAGCAACCCTGAAGACATTGTACAGGCTATCTGCTACTTATTATGCCATGCAGATATTTAAGTTAACACTGCAAGATGGACAAACAAAACCCATTTTCCTGGTGACCCATCAAATTTCTTCCTTGAGCTAAATTTTAGTACTTTTTCCTACCAATCTGGCAAAGTTAACCAGATTGGGACCTGTGCTGGATTGCAGTCTTGCAAGCTTTGCCCTCTGTGGCAAATAAAAGGTTCTGTTCTGATTTTAAGTAGTTCTATCTTTGGATATCTCAAATGATTTTGACAATTGAGTCTACTATTTCCTGTACAAAAACTGAAGGATTGTAGTAGTTTGCTCATCCAGTGGCACAGTAACATACTGATGGGTTGTCTGCTTTCGCTGGTGTAGGTAACAAGTCAAAGAAACTAATGATCAACTCTTGGTTGAACCTTTCATTTTAGGAGTTGGAAATACTGACTATTTAAAAATTCTTTTTTTAACGTCCTATTTATGTATTCCACAGTCTCCATTGGGAATTATGTGGGAAGATGACTGTGATGATGAAGACTATTACCATGCCCTTCACCTCCTTGGTGTGCTTACCCTCAATGATTCATTTTTAGAGAATTTGGCACACTTTGAGTATGAACTTTTTGATTCAGATCTATCCGATTTTAATCAGGATGATTCAGATTCTGATGACGATGACTTTGCCATTTAGTCTGTATGGAGCAGTGTTCTTCAAACGGCAGGTGGAATATTGATAGTAATTGTTTATCCTATATTTTGGCAGTGCTGTTGCAGGTAGCTGGCTTAAACCATATAATTAGGCATTTGTAACTAAAGTCTGTTTACACTGATCTATAATGCAAGTTTTGAATTTATCTTGCACCCATTGTGTACTGTGATTGTTCTAAACTAGCTATTTTTATGCTGAAACCTGCACCTGCAAGTCTTTTTAGGTTATAGATGAATATTACATTTTGCAAAAAATGCGTGACACATGCAATATACCTAAATGATCTGAGCAATTCATTATGGCAGTTTTGATGTTGATTTCAGAAACTAATTGTGCTGATCTCCTTGATTACTGTTGTGATTTAACATTCACATGAATTGGCTATTTTACCAACAGTTGATTGCAGGTGAACCATGTACTCAAGTGATGCTGAGTTATTAAACAAAGTTGAATAATGTAGGTTCAGTAGAACTGAAATAGAATGTTTTTTGCTTCCTTCCCACTAATTAGGGTGAATGCATATTTAACATGGGGATTAATAGATGTTTGACACTTTGTAACTTGATCAATTGCTTAATGAGTGGGATGTTTTTAAAATGTCTGTCCAAATAAAAACGTTTTGTAAATAGTTGTTCAATTCTTGCATTTTCTCTTTCAAACATGAAAGGTGTGTATTTTTCTCAAGTCATAAGCATAGGGGACTTTTATTGACAAAGTGCTAAAACCTGAAATTTGTGGATAACTATTAATGACCACTTGAAATATCATGAACTGAGCCAGATGGTTTTATGACTTTTTGTGGTATTTGGCCTAGAAATTAGTTTTCAAATTTGAATATGTTCCATCAGCTAAGTCTGCTTGTTTCCACCTCTGATCAGAACTCCTGTTATTTCCTGAAACTGCCATTTGTACTATTTATTTGTTGCTATCGCTATTGAACTCTAAACTCAAAACTTGCCTTCCCAAGTCCCAGTCTCTGCTTTTAAATCTGTCTCATCAAGTTCTTTTTAGTCATATTTCCTAAAATATACTTGTATGCCTTGGCTATGTAAAAGGCATAATGGCAGTGTTGTTGTCTGTCTGTAGACTATTCTAATACTTCAGATGGCCAGGTGCCATGCACAAATTCTTGTGCTTGCTGACCTATAATGACTCCCTCTAACACACAATGTTTGTTGTTTCTCACCTTCTTTACACGTCACCCCCACCCAGCCTCAGCTGGAACCTACCCTATTGCGGTGTTCCTCCAAACCTGATTATGTAAATTCCCAATTTTAACCACTTGCCCGAAGGTTGCAGCATTCAACTCCATGGACCTGGAATTGTTATATAAATCTCTTGGCTATCTTCTCTTTACCGCGTGCCCCCCCCAATTTTTTTTTCTCTGTAAAAATATAAATGTATTTTTCTTTCGATGCCCCATCACTTTGTCCAAGCTTTTAATTGTCAGTCCTGTTTGTACATTGCTATGAAAGTACTTTGGGGATGTTTTTACTGTGTTAAGGGAAATGTTTTTATGATTATAGGGCATTTAGCATCTCTGTCTCTAGGGTGACAGCTTAAAGTTGAGGTACATAACTTTTCCCTTTATCATATCTTGGATGTCTTGGGATCCTGCAGCAAACCCTTTTATTTTCAAAACTCACTAATACACCACTTGCTCAAGGAAGCACAAGCATCTTTGATTATTGGAGAATATTTGAACTTTAACTTTGGCAAAGGACACTTACTGTATAGCCTCTAATAGGATTGTGAATAACTACTACAGTCCATGTGATTTCCAAAGTATTCTCTAGTTAATGGTGTATATCCCAGTCCAAATGCTGTATCTAAGCAAATTTGATTTTAGTATTCTCGTACACTAAGTTTTTGTCCTCCTTTACCATACTGCATTTCTGCCCCTGTCCAGGCACTTTGCCGTAGGGATGGCAACTGCTTTGCAAGTATCAGCTGCTGGTGGAAGAAAACTGGTAGTTGGGTGGGGTATAATGAGCTGATAGCCAGATAAACTTGACTGAAGCCTACAAAAGTACATTAAAACCTAAATATACCAAATGTAACTGACTTCAATCCTTTTTGTTGAAGGAATAGAAGTGCCCATTATCTCCTTAACCCTGGAAGGGTAAGGAATGTAGCTTACTACTAACTTGCTGCTGCTGTCAAGCCTACTACATAAATGAGTAATGTGGTATATGACTTTTCAGTGCTGGTGTGATACCTGGTATGTTGGGATATTGTGCAAAGAATAATGTTGACAACTAATCTAGGACTTTACATGCAAGTGCACCAAAAGTGCTGCTTCTAGTAATACAATGCTCTAGTCTTTACAGACAGAACATATGCATAACCTGCACCTGTCTCCACTCCCAAGTGATAGCCATTTGCTGGTTCATTGAAATGCTTCTTCCAATCTGCCCAGTTTGCCAAACTTTTAGATTTCAGTTAATTGTCAGATATTTAGTCACTGGCGCCTCTACCAGCCAGCACTCTAATCTCCTCATTTAGTACACTTTCTCTTTATATTAGTACTCTGACCAGCATTTTCAAGATGAAAAGCTTCAATCTCTCAGCAATGCTCAAGTTTTGTTCACTGGCTTTCTGTTAAAACAGGGAAAATGGTTTTGGAAGGCATGACTGTACAGTCCCTATCAGGCATTCCACCTTCATATCGAAGTAGATGACCTCTTTTTTAATGAAATTTATACGCCAATATTAAGAGAATCAGTCACATGGCTGAGGTACATTTTAGGTGCCACAAGAAAGTTAGTGTGGATGGTATCAAAAAGGTGCACACATCTGGTAGCTCAACATTATTTACCCTGCACAATCACGATTGCAGCTGCGCTATTTGTCCTGAAAATATGCATTGTGAATAGTGAAGAGTAATTGCAGCATGAACTGACAAATAGCAAATTTCTTTATAGTGCAAATATTTTTACATTACAGTTAATGTTAACTTTATTGTGGATTGTATTATTGCCTGTTTCACAAATAATAAATATACATAATCAGTTCCTCTCCCTGTCCCACTCCTGTTCTGGATGTCAAACAATTCATGTATCAATGTGCTTCAGTGCTGCCTGCATTGACTTCTTCAGAAATGTTTTGTGTAAATCTAGGGCACAGGACAGCAAGTTCTTGTGTACAGATGTTACCTACAAAAAAAATGTATTTTTAATTAGTTTCCCTTTTTTTTTTTTTTTTTGAAATCTTTTGATTTGAAGTTTTATTGTACCCCAGTTCATGGATTAAGTATATTTTCCACTTGGAGTTGCTGAATAACCAGTACTGAGGGTGATTTAAAAAATCTGTATTTTGTGAAAAGAAATCCTAGCTCTGGAAATCCAGGCAGATTTTGAAGTAAAAGGAATGAATATGTTCTGACCCTTTTTTTTTGTTCTTGAGGTATACATACATTAGCCTTTTTAAAGCATATTTCCCCCTTCAACCATTTTAAGTGAATCTACTTTCCTATTCTTGCATTTCCCTATAATATACTCTACCTAACTTATACAATACCACTTACCCTGTCTGTATTCCTCCACATTTTGCTGACAGTACCAAGGGTGGAAACAAACTTTATCATCTTACTGTTTTTATTTTCCTCAGTCATTCCTAAGCTATTTACAATCTTCCAGTATCATTTGTTGCTACTGTTTCCTGTCAAATTTAAACTGTCACATGTCTGTGTTGAAATATTACCCAACTTCATGGGCCCTCTGCAGAATGCTACATCTATAAAATCCTCTTTCTATTTACTAGTTCTCTCTAATCAGTCCTTTTTCAAAAGGTTGCTAATCACATCTCCTCATGTATCATAATCAGAATGGGGTAAGTTTAAAAGATCCTGGAAGAAATGGGTAGATGTGTTGGGTTGGTTTTGCATACAGCTGACCAAAAGTTCAAGGCAATTGTGATTTGCAATTTGCACTGTTTAGATTTCTTTTTGTAACTGATTCCAGGTGATGTCAGGCTAACTGTTTTCTCTCCCTTGTTTCCTGAAGTTTTTTAAATAGCGGTGTTATCTTTGCTCATTACCATAGAATGTATGGAATTTTGGAAAATGATTTGCATTGTATATGCTGATGACAGTTAGTAGCAGGGTGGGGAGTAAGTGGAGACAGAACCTCAAGAGAGACAGACAAAAAGGTCATCGATGGTAGCATTTCCTCATTAACTGCAATCACAATGAGGTTGGAACTTTAGTTAATTTGATCACGAGTCTGGCAGTAGTGAAGCACATTCGGGGAGCTTCGGATGCCGATGAGAGATAGCAACATTGTTAGGGAGCTGCCATGCTCTGATTAATGGTCTGTACTCTCTGCCAATTACTAGAATGATGAGAGATTAAAAAGAGAGGTGTGGGAGGTGGTGGTAGCAGAATGGTGATGATAGGGGACACTGGTAGTAGGTATGAACTGATTGGATTCATCCCTCCCATCAACCAGTTCGTGGTTGGAAGGGAGGATCAGAAGGTGGAATGAAAGAGGAGGTGGGGCCAGAGGATATTACCACCATTCTGCTACCAATGCTTCCCTCTACTGCCCCCCACTTCCAGTCCTGAAGAAGGGTAATACCCAAAACGTTGACTGGCTTGCTGTGTTCTTCTAGTCTAGTTTGTCTATACTAGAATGGTATTGGTAGGACCACATCTATGTTGCAGTTGAATGAAAACAAGTAACGGGGGACTGACCGATTTTCTGGTATCCGCATCGGATCCTGAGGTAGTCTGTATGATCCACAAACTATATTTTATACTAGCTATTGTATATTAATTGGTAAACTGGATTCACAAAAACATCCACTCTAGATAAGACAGATTTGTGTATAGAAGTTCCTAATATGTAGTATAAACAAATAAGCAACTGACTGGGGCCATCAATACACTTATGGAGAGGAGTTGAAACGAAATGCTTACTCGGGTAGAATCTGTGTTGCAGCAACAGCATATTAAAAAGAAGTCTCAATTAATTAATTTTTCATTAATCTCTGAACATTTATGAAAAAAACTGCAACAAAGATCACACAAGCACTTTGCCTGCAGAAGTATTGAGTCTAGTGCCTTTGAAGGTTAGTTTCATTCCACAATGTGACTGTTGATGTATTACCACAAATTTAAATCATTGCATTAAATACATTCTGAACTTTTCGATGATAAAGAATCAGGGCATGTGGACAATAGAAGGATTATTTCAGTTACAGATTCACCTACATCTGAGCTGATTTTCTGGTATTACCATCAACTGCAACACTTCGTCAGGCCTCAATGTGTCTGTGGTCTCAGTTGCCACTGTCTCCCAAACTTAAATGGAAGGCTAATTATGACAAAACTGAAACTTTCATGCTTTGAAAGGGACCTACGTTGCCATAGCAGTTGGTAATAGACAAACACCCATATGCTGGGTTGCAGTGCCACAAACTGAATATGTCAGATGTTGCACGCTGCCACTTTTTGCATATTATTCTATTATGTACACATCCAGATGGATAGACATAGTGCCGCCACCTCCCCCACTGCCCTACTTCATTTTCTGACAGAAGGGGAAAGTGGGAAGAACAGAGAGCAAGCCTGTTGTCCATGATTGGAGTTCCCTACCCTGTACCTGCCATTTCTGTCCCTGCAACTCTCCTGAAAACTAAGAGGTCAGCCTAAGTTTTTTTTTAAAAAAGCTCAGGTGTAATACTCACATAGTTCTGGTACTTTGTAAGTGCAGCCAGCACCACTTTGGCATACTTCATTGATTTGCTGAAATTTCCTGCATGCTGACTTAACTTTTGAACAAATTGCTCAAATAATTCAGGCGTTATTTCAACCTTTTAAGAAAAACAAAATGAGAACAGTTTAAGTTGCAAATTAATTCCTGTCAGCCAATATTGTGAAAACAAATTATCTGGTCATTTATTAGTATGTCATTTGAGAGATTTTGCAACTGCTGGTTTGCAGCATTTGTTACTCAGTGACTAGAAAATAATGAAAAAGTCATCTATAAAATAACTTAGATATCCATGAGAAAGTTAAGGTGTTTCAAACTTTAGCTGTTTGTGATCTGCCCTTGTGAAATGGCTAACATTAGATTTTAAATCTGCACAGTAAATAGTGCACAAATTCCTATTGAGATTACTTTACTTCTTTTTCCCCCAAAATAATACCTTAACCAGCAGATTGCCTTTTTACTGCTCGACTGAAAAATAGTTGCATTTGTTAATTCTTCTTATCAAAGATGAGGTGAACAAAGCATGGAACCAAGATATGAGCAGGACGTGGGAGGTATGTTTGTAAAAGCTGACTAAGAGGAGAACATTACATTAACTTAATGTTACACAAAAAGGAACACCCTGCGCAACAGTAATTCAGAATATCTTAAATTAGTATAGGGAAAAAGTTGTTCCATTAAATAAATTGATATATACATAGGATCATTTTCAACTCCATTTTATCGAACAAAATTAACACTTTTCAAAGTGCTTAGTTTCCCAAAAATGAATGGGAAGTAGTTTTACACTTGATAATGATTATTCTCAATCTGCTGTTGTGCTCACCAAGAACAATGCAGAGCTAGTTATGAACTTTATGTTCTATTTGGATAACCATGCATTGGCTCTTGTTTAAAGACACAAAGTTTGACCCCCATTGTTTTTTCTTTAATATATAACCTATTTTTCTAATCAACCTGAAGAGCGATGGTATTAGGTGGAGTAGGCAGGACTTGAACTCAAGCCTCTCAATTCATGGGCAGGGATGCTACCACTGCCCTCCACTAGAGGGCACCCAAGTTTGGCCTCCAAATACACAAGTGCAAATGTATTCTACCTGAACATAATTAAACAATCTATTCATGTATGTTACATCTGATACAAATCACATAGATGGTATTTTATTATTTTAATTAACCTGTTATGATTCACCTGTGGCAGGTGGGACTTGAACCAAGATATCCTGGTCCAGAGATAGTGACATTACTACTGAACAATATGTGGGCAGATACTACCTAGTATGTCATGTGGTATCACTAACATGTAATCACTTGCTACTCACCTTCCTCTCAAGCAGTGTATGTACCACAGAAAGTAAGTCTTCACTCCATGTAATGGACAAGATGTGCCTGTGAACATATCACATTAATTAGTAACACATTTAAAAGAAAATCCTACTGGATTATCCTCCTCCATTGTTACAGTTCAATATTTTCAGTTCTCAATTTTTGTCTGCATTAAAACTTTGCATAGATTGCATTCTTGTACCTGTATCAATTCTTACATGTGGTTCTTTCAACTTTTAATTGCCTGATAGAAGGGATGTGAATTTGTCCTAAGATACCATCTACCACTAAATAAACCAGTCAGCAAAGGTTGTACAATGTACAGTTCTAAGTTGTCTACCAGTGTATATGCCAGTTTTATTTAGGGTTTACCCTCTGTGGGTTCAAGACCTATCAGGGCTTGAGCACACTGTAGGCTGTGGCATTGTTGCAGGTTCTAGAGTTTGGCTAAAATATTAAATAAAATTCAATTTGCCTCATTGGAGTGATGTAAAAGATCTTCCCTTTTTTTTCAAAGCTGTGGACTAAGACTCATCCTTCATCCAAAAACAGATTAACTGTTCACTTTATCTCAATTATGCTGGAGGAACTTTACTGTTTGCGCATAGCTTTCAAAACAAGGGACTATATTTTGAAATTGGTTAAGTAAGTATACTGTAGAAACCAGTTGAAGCTGCAGAGTTCTGATTAAAATACTTATTTCTCTGCATTTAACCTTATGAACATTTTCATAAACATGATGGAACAGCTCTGAAAAGATATTTTCCAAATAGTGTAACAGTCCCAAATCTGCAACCACAGCAGTGAATTCTTAAATTTTGTTTTTAACAAATTGTACAAAAGTTTCTTCCATCCCCTCAAAATTGACTGCAGATAAAAAAATCTGACATTTGTTGAAAATACTCTCCTGGTTTCACAGAGGCATGCATCTTAAATTTATTTTTAAAACAACAATTTTGTCATTACCTTAAAGAGCTTCAAAAAGGATCCAGGCCTCTAAAATAAAGTTGACAAGTACTTGGCAGTTTTGCAAAATAGTTTGACTGCAAAACCACCCTGCAGCCTTAGAATGCAGTTCCAGAACAACCTAATGGCTCCACTACATTGGGTCTACACTGTTTTCAACAGAGTTGCTACAGAAGCTTCCCAGATTAATGCCAACAACAAAGCAGACCAGCCAGGAAGGACTTATTGGTTATCAACAGACTAATAATACCTTTACCATGCTAAAATGTCCCAAGGCATTTCATAGGAACATTACGAAGTATTACATTGAGCCACATAAGAATGTCTGATGAGGACTGCTTGGTTAAACAGGTAGTCTTCAGGACTGTCTTAAAAGAGGAAGGTGAGGTAAAGAGGCTTAGGGAAGTACATGCTGGAACTTGGGGCCTAAGCAACTAAAGGCACGGCCAACAATGGTGGAGTGATTTAATATCAGAGTACCCAAGAGAAAATTTACTTCTAAAAACAAAGGACTTCTACTCTTCCATTTAACTGTAAGAATGGATATTTTCAGATACATTTGCCCAAGAGAGGAATTTACAAGTTATACAAGCAACAAACAGTAATTAACAATAGAATTAACTCAACCCAAAAATCATTGTTAGATGCTCTGGTTTGAGGCAGTCTTCTGCAAGTCTGCAAATCAGTTCCACTTGAATACCTCCTGCAAATAATTCAAAAATATGAAACTGCAGGCAAAGCAGTTAATTTGGTAAAATTAATGTACAGAGCAAAACATTATAGTTGTTGATGAGATTATAGAAATTTAAACTTGCCATAACAGACAACGTTCAAAGACATAAGATGCAAGCTTTCAACTGGGATCTGAAACTGATAATTGTTGCTTCAGATACAGACAAAGAAAGATTCCACATTGGGTTAAGAAGCATTGTGGTTGTTCACTGAAGTGACGTTGTGAACAGCTTTTTATGATGGAATTTTGCTTTGATACAATAATCTGGAGCAATCCAATCCTCAGTGTCAATGTGGAGTACATTCACAACAGCAGCATAAAAAAAAATGAAGATATCACTTCACCAGATTTTAAATTTGTAATTGCATAATTTGCAACTTCATTATCGTATTAGATTATGCAAATTAGAACTAACAGTGGAAGTCAAATTAGATTTCTTTAAAAAGATAATACATTGGCATATAGTGATTTCATTTTTAAATTGCTTTACATTCAAAGGCCTGTGTTAATCTTTGGGGTTTAACATCATTGTCCCATATACTTGCCACCTGGAGTTGATTCTCCTCTGCGATTGCTTCCTTCTAGCATTACCTCCCTCTGCCCTGGCCCCAGCTTTGCCTCGCAATTTGCCCTATTGCCCCATCCACTGGGCCTGGCCTTGTCTCCCTCTGTTCTTACCTTTGGCTTTCCCCCTCACCACAGAAACTGGTTCCTTCTCCTAACTATGGTCCTGAACTCATACTGAAGGGATTTATCTTGCTGGTTAGTACAAGATCTCTGCAGTTTCCTGCATCAACTAAAATCAGCCACTAGATGGAACCAGATGAATCTAAAAAACTGAATTGTGTTAGGGCTAATATGGCATTCCTTTCAAAGTTTATATCTTAGTTTGCATGTCAATCAACTAGGAATGTATAGTTCTATAAATGTATGCAAATAGTATTTCAACTTTCTATGCTTCTTTCTCCACATAAAAAATGCCTGAAGGAAATTAACTTTGACTTCAATATTGATTTGTACTGGAATCTATTATTTACTTCAGTCAATTTTCAGGAATGCAACCACAACTTTAAGTGAGCACTTGGTGTATGCGAACAACTTGAGACATAGTGCACAAGTTCAGCATGCTTTCTAAGCAGGAACAGGTGGGTTTAGACCCATGGTCCCTAAAACTTTGCACAATTATGGGTTTACTTTGCCTTGTGTGTCCAGATCTGTTGTGGACTAAGAGATTTACAACTACAATTTGCCAATTGGATTGTTTATCATGCAGCAACCAGGATTGCAAAAGATGAAACAATCACCTCAAACACTCTTCATCTAACAGTTCTTTAGTTTCCACATTCTGTTTCAGTGCCTTGTTCCATAGGTGGAAGAACACAGGCCCAAACACATAATTTTGCAAAAAGCGAGATGCAGATTATTCCATCACTGCTGAAATCATTGATAAACTAGGTCCTTTTCCTATTGGGAAAATTTGCAGGCGAATATTGGCGCAGGCGAATATTGGCTTGATACTCAGTTAAAAAGCAAGGAAAAAGAGCAAAATGATTTGCGAAAAGCTCATGTCTGACTATAGTAAGAAACTTTTAGTCATTTTTGGACAGTGATAACAGTTATTATCAATGCATCTCCCACAGTTGTTCAAATCAAACCGTACCTATGTCCGGATTCTGAAGGATTGGCCCAATCAGAGCTGTGCAGGATGGACGTGCATACTTCTTGCAAAATGAAGTGATGGCAGCCATTAGAAAGCGTGAGGCAGGCTCTGTCAGTGAAAGTATCTGTAAATACACATAATTCCACTTATTTATCACTTGACTTTCCTGTACTGAAAGCCCTTCATTTTTGGGATATGATTCTAAAACCACTTTCAGTGCCTTATCTGGTGGCCTTTCTGAACATGTCTGAAGGGGTCTGTTTAAGCAGTTTCAGTTATTTAAGGGTTAAATAGGGATAGGAGTTTCAGTCCAAAGAGTTTTAGTAAAGAGAACTGAAGGATCACAGATGTATAGAGACTAGGTAGGGAGTTAGTGATACTTAGGCCACTCGATCAGCCAAGATAAGGAAGCCTTGGCTAAATACAAACAATACCTTCTGTATTTACTTAGGCTAGTAAATCTCACTCACTCAAATGCACAGTCGTAACTTGTAGCAGAGTCTTCTGGTGGTTTGTCAAGTTGAACCCAACAGTGTCATTACACAAAACAAACATTAACATAACATTTGACTATGGGAGGCTGCGACCTAGTTTTGCTGCACTGTGAGCAGGGGTCACTGGTTAGCATTGAACACTTCTAATGTTAAACCGATTACAATTAATTCAGGGAGAAGTGATAACAAACTAAAACTCGCTTTAACTGGGGCCAGCAAGACATTCCACGATTTCAAAAGGAACTTGGATGGGCACTTGAAAGAAATAACCTTATAGAGGTTATAGGGATTAAGTTGGAAAATAGGGCAATCTGCTTTCTCTAGAGGGCCAGAATGGATTGTGTGGGCCAATGGCCTCCTGAGCCATGATGAGACAGGTTTAAAGCAAACTAGGGAAGCTAACAAACCTCATGGTTCAGTTAAACACTGCTTTTGTTATCTGGACCAATAGGAGAGCTACATATCATTTATATCCACACGAATGCACACAAGTATCAATCTTCACTTCCTCTGTACGAACGACCTTATAAAGTTATTAAACCCAGAGAACATGCAACACTCAATTCTCCAAATCTTGCCATAAAGCATCATTAACAAAAATATCAACAGTAGTGGTACAGATAGGGCAAATCAAATATTTGTACTAAAAATAACATCAACATGACCCCACCTTCCATCAGTGTGCGAGAAAATAAATTTTCTGCTCAAGATGCTCTAGCTCTGACATACCCAGGGCAGACATGGTGAAAACATCTTCAGAAACCATCACCCCCCAGGCTCCTCGCTCATTCCCTCCATTTCAGGATTTCCTACTGGGAATAACAAAGGACCGGCAATAAATTTGCCCAAATATGGGTGAGCATGGTCCAATGATAGACAAATGATGGAAACATATTATACAACATTTGCTATTACTTGTGCCTTAGCAATATTGGGCATCCAGTCTCGCTTATGGTTAGAGAGGAGCACATTCAAATCTCAAAGGCTGAAAAATCTACACAATTAAGGTGGAAAAGCTAGAAAAAAAATGCAAAGTCAGTTCCAAATTACACCACACAGAATGATCATACCCTTGTCAAGAAGAGGTTCCGAGCCAGCACAGCCGCATTACTGTAACTGAGATCAGATGACAAGGAAATCAGTTTAATGCACGTCAAAGGCAGGAGGTGCTCTGGGAGTTCAGACAGTTGCAGTAATAAACAGAGTTTCTCCAGCTACAAGAAATGTAACATGCAAATCAATTTTTAAAAACCATACGAACAAAATAAACAATTTACAGGATCAATATATACAACTACAATACTTTGTCAAACAGATGCCATAATCTGGAAATTTTGCTTCTGGGGACTGTCCAACCAAAGGGTGCATTATTACATAGAGCTTTTAAAAGGTAATGTCATTCAGGACAGTGTATAGTCCCAGCTCTTGATAACACTGAAGTGAGTCAAAAGTTGCACGATATCCCTGCCAATGTTTTATTTGTATTGACAGACCATCCCCAAGGACTTTACATTGAGTGGGTTTATGTAAGATGCTTTCAAAGTTAAATTAATTACCACAATACACTACTAGATGGATAACTAAATCCCAATTAATTTTTCTTAGGCACTTTAAAAAAAAAAATTGAATTTTTCTGAGAAGCCAAATGTGGTGGTGACCTTAGGCTGCTGATTGTGGATCTGGAATGGATGGACTGGGGACAAGTTCAGCCTTCAACTTCTTTTTTAGAGGGCAACCCTGGGACAGCACCATGTGTATGCACGAGCCCTGATAATACATAAAGTCCAAGGGCTTTCACTAGGTTCCAGCCTCCAGCATTTTCAAATGAGCAAAGGAGTACAATGAAAGGGGAAGATGCAAGTGTTTTGTGCGTGGTTTTACCAGGGTTGCAGGAGCAGCACAAAATGATGCCATTTGCTTTATAAAGCTCACCACTGACCTGCTTTCTAACCTCCTGATGGTTGCCAAAACAAATCCCTTGCCAAAATCTACCAGATCTGATAGCTTATTTAATATTTCATGGCTGTAAGTGTTGCTGGCAAGATTAGCACTTGCTGCTAAACCCTAATTACTCTTGAGGTGGTGGTTAGCCACCTTCGAACTGTGTTTTTGGTGGGGTTGGCGGAGATGAGTTCCAGAACTTTTACCCAACGACGGTGAAGGAACGTTGATATTGTTCCAAATCAGGATGGCGTGCGTGTACACTGAGGTGAAGTTAGAGGTAATGGCCTTCCCAACCATCTGCTGCCCTTGTCCTTCGAAGTTGTAAAGGCAATGGGTTGGGAAGTTGCTTTTGAAGAAGATTGGTAAGTTGTTGCAGTAAAAGGTAAATGGTACACACTACTTGCAGTATTAACTCATGGCAGATGGGACATTTTGTCCTTCATGGTGTTGAGCTTCTTTTGGCCTTCACTGCAAGAGATTTCGAGTACAGGAGCGGGGATGTGTTGTTGCAGTTATACAGGGCCTTGGTGAGGCCACACCTAGAGTACTGTGTGCAATTTTGGTCTCCTTTTCTGAGGAAGGATGCTCTTGCTCTTGAGGGAGTGCAGCGAAGGTTTACCAGGCTGATTGCAGGGATCATGGGGCTGACATATGAGGAGGGATTGACTAGGTTAGGATTGTTTTCGCTGGAGGTCAGACGAATGAGGAGCGACCTCATACAGATTTATAAAATTCTAACAGTACTGACAGGGTAGATGCAGGAAGGATGTTCCCGATGGTGGGTGTGTCCAGAAACAGGGGTCACAGTCTGAGGTTTCAGGGTAGACCATTTAGGATGGAGATGACGAGACATTTCTTCACCCAAAGAGTGGTAAGCCTGAGGCACTCATTACCACAGGAAGTAGTTGATGCCAAAACACTGAATATATTCAAGAGGCAGCTAGATATAGCACTTGGGGTGAACAGGATCAAAGGTTATGGGGAGAAGGTAGGTTTAGGCTACTGAGTTGGACAATCAGCCATGATTGTGATGAATGGCAGTGCAGGTTCAAAGGGCCGAATGGCCTCCTCCTGCTCCTAGCTTCTATGTTTCTAGGTGTATAGTTGGAGTTATGCTCATCCAGGCTCATTCCATTACACTGGTGATGTGTGCCTTGTAGATGGTGAACTTGCTTTGAGGAATCACAAGGTAGGTTACTCACCAGAGAATTCCGGCCTCTGACCAGTTCATGTAGCTACAGTATTTATATGGCTGGTCCAGTTCAGTTTCTGGCCAATAATAACCTCCATGATACAAATGATGGGGGATTCAGCAATGGCAACATTGTTGAACATCAAGGGGAAATGGTTAGATTCTTAATTGTTGAAGGTGGTCACTGCTTGGCATAGGTGTGACGTAAACTGTTACTTGCTACTTAACAGCCCAAGCCTAGTTGTTATCCAGGTCTTTCTGCAAGCAGAACAGATGGACTGCTTCAGAGTCTGAGGAGTCATGAATAAACAATGTGACACCATTGGGTTCCTCAGGGTAGTTTCCAACCATCTTCACTTCTGACCTTACGATGGGAATGAACTTCATTGATGACCTTACGATGGGAATGAACTTCATTGATGAAGCTGTTGAAGATGGTTGGAAACTACCTTGAGGAACTCCTGTAGCAATGCCTTGGGGCTGGCTTCCATCAACCATTTTGCTAGGTACAGCTCCAATCACTGAAGAATTTTCCCAGATTCCTGTTGACTTCTATTTAAAGGTCTCCTTGCATGCAATATTTGGTTAAGTGCTGCCTTGATATCAAGGACAATCACTGGGTCAAAATCCTGGAATTCCCTCCCAAAGGGCATTGTGGTTCTACCTATAGCACATGAATTGCCATGGTTCAAGAAGACAGCTCACCACCACCTTCTCAAGGACAATTAGGGATGGGCAATAAATGCTGGCCAGCCAACAAAAAAAAAATCACTTCTGTCTCTGGAATACAGCCCCTTTTCTTGCTCATGTTTGGACCAAGGGTGCCATGTAGTCCTGGCAGAACTCAAATTGAACACAGATACGATGCCTATTGCTGAGTAAATGCTCTTGACCATACTGTGTTAATTATGCTGGGAGCCCAAAATATAACCAGGATCAGGGAAGCATATCATGAGTAAGTAGAAGGCCTGCCCTATGACAGGTGCTCCAAACAGAAGCTCTAGGCCAGTGAGATTTGGCAGAATTTGCCATCACCTTAACAAAGATAATGTGAAGTGCAGTTAACTGCAAACAGGTTCTTGCTTTAAGAGAGAAAAAGAAAACACTCTGGTCCTACCTGGCTTGTGTCACATTCATTCAGGATGCTTAGTTCTTCAGATGTTTCCAACTTCTAAGAGAAGAAAAAGACAACAGACTTGTTTTCAGAAGTAAAACTGCAGCTGGGCTGCAATTAAGATGTTCCTAGAATTCAGTATCCAGGATTGATCACAACAGAACCTTGCCAGATAGGAGAAGCAAATGAAAGCAGGTGAGGACAGGGCCCTATCTAATTCTGTACCTGGCTACCAATTTGTGTAATGTTGTATCTTTAAGACCTCCCTGTTCACAAACAGAGGACTTCATATAATTACAGTCCCTAAATCACATCATCAACATCATTGACATTATTATGTTTCCCATAGGTCAGACCAGCGGTTTTTGCCCTCAACTATTAAACTAAGTACAACTCAGTTCATTTTGTAACTATTTTGCTATAATTCACTGCAAATATTCTTCTCAGTTATTTTGTTCATAAGGAGGAGGTGTTAGCAATTCTGGAAGGTGTGAAAATAGATAAGTCCCCTGGGCCGGATGGGATTTATCCTAGGATTCTCTGGGAAGCTAGAGAGGAGATTGCAGAGCCTTTGGCTTTGATCTTTATGTCGTCATTGTCTTCAGGAATAGTGCCAGAAGACTGGAGACTAGCAAATGTTGTCCCCTTGTTCAAGAAGGGGAGTAGAGACAACCCTGGTAATTATAGACCAGTGAGCCTTACTTCGGTTGTGGGTAAAGTGTTGGAAAGGATTATAAGAGATAGGATTTATAATCATCGAGAAAGGAATAATTTGATTAGGGATAGTCAACACGGTTTTGTGAAGGGTAGGTCGTGCCTCACAAACCTTATTGAGTTCTTCGAGAAGGTGACCAAACAGGTGGATGAGGGTAAAGTGGTTGATGTGGTGTATTTGGATTTCAGTAAAGCGTTTGATAAGGTTCCCCATGGTAGGCTATTGCAGAAAATATGGAGGCATGGGATTGAGGGTGATTTAGTGGTTTGGATCAGAAATTGGCTAGCTGTAAGAAGACAGAGGGTGGTGGTTGATGGGAAATGTTCATCCTGGAGTTCAGTTACTAGTGGTGTACCTCAAGGATCTGTTTTGGGGCCACTGCTGTTTGTCATTTTTATAAATGATCTGGATGAGGGCGTAGAAGGATGGGTTAGTAAATTTGCGGATGACACCAAAGTCGGTGGAGTTGTGGACAGTGCGGAAGGATGTTGCAGGTTACAGAGGGACATAGATAAGCTGCAGCGCTGGGCTGAGAGGTGGCAAATGGAGTTTAATGCGGAAAAGTGTGAGGTGATTCACTTTGGAAGGAGTAACAGGAATACAGAGTACTGGGCTAATGGTAAGATTCTTGGTAGTGTGGATGAGCAGAAAGATCTCGGTGTCCATGTGCATAGATCACTGAAATTTGCCACCCAGGTTGATAGCGTTGTTAAGAAGGCGTACAGTATGTTAGGTTTTATTGGTAGAGGGATTGAGTTTCGGAGCCATGAGGTCATGTTGCAGCTGTACAAAACTCTGGTGCGGCTGCACTTGGAGTATTGCGTACAGTTCTGGTCACCGCATTATAGGAAGGATGTGGAAGCATTGGAAAGGGTGCAGAGGAGATTTACCAGGATGTTGCCTGGTATGGAGGGAAGGTCTTATGAGGAAAGTCTGAGGGTCTTGAGGCTGTTTTCGTTAGAGAGAAGGTTAAGAGGTGACTTGATAGAGACATACAAGATGATCAGAGGATTAGATAGGGTGGACAGTGGGAGCCTTTTTCCTTGGATGGTGATGGCTAGCACGAGGGGACATAGCTTTAAATTGAGGGGTGATAGATATAGGACAGATGTCAGAGGTAGGTTCTTTACTCAGAGAGTAGTAAGGGCGTGGAATGCCCTGCCTGCAAAAATAGTAGACTCGCCAACTTTAAGGGCATTTAAATGGTCATTGGATAAACATATGGATGATAATGGAATAGTTTAGGTTAGATGGGCTTCAGATTGGTTTCACAGGTCGGCGCAACATCGAGGGCCGAAGGGCCTGTACTGCGCTGTAATGTTCTATGTTCTATGTTCCCTGGCACATTTTGATCACATCACATTTTGATGTGATTACATCATTCGCTGCTGTTACTGGACGGCACCTGTTAGGAATAAGTTTTGTCCAAATATAAATTACATGAATAACTTAATTAGTAAGGGGGATCTTCCATCAAATAACACTTTGATGAATGAGCATGCTTTAGTTCTAAGGAGTAAAAGCACTTCTGCAAATTTCCAATAAATCAGAGGACCTTTGAAAATTTATTTCTACATTTCGAATGTAAACCTCCTCCAGAAGGAGATATTGTTTTAGGTAGACATAAAAAAATTAAAAGAACACTTACATCTGATTCAGCCCCAAACAGATCCCTCAGGCTGGATACAGAAGCCTTAAAGAAAAACAGTTTGTACATCAATTGACAGGTTTAGAAACTTAAACGTGTAATCAAAAGGCTTGCTCCAATAAATGTTCATCTATGGCTTTAAATGGACTTCATTTGATTTTATTATTTCCCAGTCACTTTCTCTGAATATTACTAATCACATTTTTTTAAACATATGATTGTGTATTTTACATTTATGTAATGGTTTCATGTTTTCAGTTTATGATTATGAGTGAATCTCTTTCGGGTGCAGAGGCAGCTAATAAATACATTATTTAGCAGTGTTTGTTCTAACAAGCTAAGAGTGGTGACAATGCTACCTCTGGACCAAATAACAATAGCAGAACATTATCGATTGAATTCAATGTAATAAGGCATCACAGTGTTACTAATTTAAGCATTGCGAAATATTAATATGGATATAACTTGTTTACATGGAAGAATCAAGTTTAATTGTAATTGCAACTATCCAAATCTTTCTTGCCACTTAAAATTATCCTTCTGATCACTGATTGTGGAGGACGATGCTAATTATTTTATTTACAGTCAGGTTGGGGAAGGTTTATGTTTAATATCAGTGATTGCTTTATGCTCAGTACCCTTGCCATGATCGTTGCTAATCTCTAAAGAGAAAAGGTAAATGAAAGACTGTATCCTGGGATAAGGTTTACTGGTCGTTGAAAATTGAAACTCCTGCAAACCTGTCAAGGAATTCTGCAAAAAGGACTTAAGAAACTCCGGCCTTGCAGGCTCTGTGGAGAGAAAAGAGAGTTAATGTTTGAGTCTGAAGACTCTTCAGACCTAGTTTCCTGTTCACAGATGCTTCCAGGCCTGCTGAGTTTCTCCAATGCTTTCTGCTTTTATTACACATTTCCAGCATCTGCGGTATTCTTCTTTTACTAAAGGAATTCTGCAAGATTTCCACAGGTTATGTGTTTTGACTGTAAGTTTCAACTTAAGAGTTTTCCTTTTGAGCAAAGGAAGTGGAGGGTTGTTAAGCAGTAGGATCAAGAGAAGTGAGAGGTGACAATCTATGAGGCTGAACATGTAGCTTTGACAACAAGGGTCACCGTGAACTAATTATCATTACTTATAATGTTGTATGTCAAGATTATAGAGAGGTTGACTAGAAAACATTAACGGCAGTGAGTGGGTTGGAGCCTGGTGACTGAGCAGGGTTGAAAGCTTGGAGTTGAGTGGGACGAGTACAAATAAGCAGCTAGCATGGATCAAACAACTTCAGAGGTGTCAATATATTTAAGGCACCTTACAAATGCAAGTTGCTATTATATAGTAGCGCATATTCAGCTTGTAGACAATCTGTATAGTAGATAAAGGACCAGTGAACGTAAAAAATTTAATAAAAGAACAATCTTGTATATTTATTATGTCTTTTAAATTTTGCAAAGTACTTCATAGCTTATAAAGTACTGGTCAAGAGATTAAAAAAACTTATATTTATATATCATTTTCCACATTCTTAGAAATTCTCAATGTATATAAAAGACAATGACAGGAAGAGTCTGAGCTTGTTCCTGCTCCTTGGATGACAATGGAAACATGTAAAGATCATACAGTAAATAAGGAACAATTTTAGAAGATTTTTTAGTGGACAGTTAAATGCCACTTGTAAATGGGCCTGTTGACATGAGTCCATGGATTGGCTACTGGGTTTGGAAGATATTAAGAAAATTGAAAGTGAAGGCAAGACTTTGTGGGAGAGAATGATGGGCAATCAGTGCTGCTCGCATCTCACAAGTTAATTTCTAGAGAAGGTGCTGCTGAAAATTGTGTTTGTGAGAGAAACGAGGGGTTGATTTTGCCAGGTTGAGAAAGATCGAGTTGTTGGGAACAAACACCAGAAACAGGTATTAACGTGAATGGTCATATCTGCCAGTATGTCTGTAAGTTTGTTATCTGTTTGATTTGGTTTCTGTTGCAGTGCCTCACCAGGGGCTGTCTAGTCTGTTACAGTTTGTTATTTTAAGATTAGAAACCAAGAAACTACAAGCAGGAGTAGGCCATTTGGCCCTTTGAAACTGCACCCAAATTCAGTATGATCTTGGTCAATTCTCTACATCAATACCATATTCTCACTTTCTCCCTATACTCGATGTCTTCGACATCTAAAATGTATCTGACTCTCTTTCTTCAATATGACTTGACCTCCGCAGCCTTCTGTGATAGACAATTCCACAGGTTCACTACCCTTTGAGCAAAGAAGGTTTTTCTTATCTCAGTCCTAAATGGTCTACCCCGTTCCCTGAGACTGTGTTCCCAGGTCTACATTCCCCAATCAGGGCAGACATCCTCTCTGCATGCAGTCTGTCCACCCCTGTTGGAATTTTATACATTTCAATCAGATTCCCTCTCATTTTCCTAAACTCTTGTGAATACAGGCCTAATTGAACAAATACTTCCTCATAGGGCAGTCCTGTGTCCCTGGGACATGAGACAGCTTTGGCAGATATGGTTAAGGAGAATCCAAAGACATTCTAGAAGTATATTATGGGCAAAAGAGTAACTAGGGCCCTTTAAAAATCAACAAGGCTATCTATGTGTGGAACCACAGGAGATGGATGAGATTCTAAAAGAATATTTTGTGTCAGTATTTACTGTGGCAAAAGACATGGAAGCTAGGGAATTCAGGGGAAAAAAAAGTGATGTCTTGAAAAGAGTCCATATTACAAAAGAGGTGCTGGAGGTCGTAAAATGCATGGATAGATAAATCCCTTGGACTTGATCAAGTGTATCCCAAAACATTGTGGAAAACTAGGGAAGAATTTGCAAGGCCCCGATAAGAGATATTTGTATCATCAACACCACAGGTGAGGTGCTGGAAGGCCTGTGACCAGCAGTGTGCCGCAAAGATCGGTGCACGGTTCACTGTCATTTATAGAAACGATTTGGATGAGAATGTAGGAGGCATAAGAAGTTAGTTTGCAGATGACACCAAAATTGGTGGTATAGTGAACAGTGAAGAAGGTTATCTAAAGAGTACAATGGGATCTTGATCAACTGGGCTAGTGAGCTGAGGAATGGCAGATGGAGTTTAACTTAGATTAATGCTAGGTGTTGCGTTTTGCTAAGACAGACCAGGGTAGGACCTACACAATGTTAATGGTAGGGCCCTGGGTAATGTTGTCAAACAGAGAGACCTAGGGGTGCAGGTACATAGTTTCTTGAAAGTGGCATCACAGAGAGACAGGGTGGTGAAGAAGGCATTTTGCACCCTTGCCTTCATTGGTCAGAACATGGAGTACAGGAGTTGGGACATCATGTTACGCCTGTAGAAGACCACATTACATACAATTCTGGTTAGCCTGCCACAGGAAGGATGTTATTAAACTGTAAAATGTGCAAGAAAGATTTACAAAGAATTTAATAAGACTGGAGGGTTTGAGTTATAAGGAGCAGATGGATAGGCTAGGGCCTTTTTCCCTGGAGCACCTCCTCTTCTGTAATGTGGACTCCTTTCACTACTTAAGACCTTATGCAGGTTTATAAAATCATGAAGGGAATAGATTCAAGGAAAGTGGGCAAAGATTTAAAAGGGACCTGAGGGGCAAGTTTTTCCACACAGAGGGTAGGGCATGTATGGAAGGAGCTGCCAGAGGAAGTGGAAGATGGAAATACAATTACAACATTTAAAAGATATTTGGACAGGTACATGGATAGGCGAGGTATAGAGGGATATGGGCCAAACACAGGCGAAATGGGTCTGGTTCACATTAGGAAACCGGCTCGGCTTGGACAAGTTGGGCTGAAGGGTCTGTTTTCGTGCTGTATGACTCTAAGACTAACTCTGCACAGTGAAGCTTATTCTTTTTTGTTTAAAATCATGGAAATCTTGTGGTTTTCTTCTCTCAGGCAAGTCTGAGATTCCAAAAATGCGTCAAGTTACTGGCCCCCAGACAGATTGTACTATAACTTTTGCAATCTGGTCCAGGAGCCAAACAGTGCAAACAGGAAGGTATTTTTCAAAGGTGAAATAACGTTGTAATGTCCTGCATGAAGTACCAGACAGCCTGAAGATTGCTGGGATGGGAGCTGCAGTTGGACCACGAATCCAGAAGGTACAGGAAAAGTACTGTAAAGGACAGAAAATATTGCTGGAATGACAGAGACAAGCTAAGCACTGGAATGGAAGGCAACCTGAGAGAACGTTCAGAGAGAACCAACAATTTGCTTCACCAGAATAAGGTCAAAGTAAAAGTAAGCTTCAGGCCTGTTCAGGAGGGACAATATTCTGGGACAGGTTAGACAAGCAGTTAAGGAGAATATTTTGGAAAGGCAAATGAGGGCAGGACTTAATACACTTAATGGTAAGGTCCTGGGAAATGTTGCTGAAAAAGAGACCTTGGAGTGTAGGTTCATAATTCCTTGAAAGAGGAGTCATAGGTGGACAGGGTAGTGAAGGAGGTGTTTGGCATACTTGCCTTTACTGGTCAGTGCATTGAGTATAGGAGTTGGGAGATTATGTTTTGGCTGTACAAGACATTGGTTAGGCCACTTTTGGAATACTGTGTGCAATTCTGGTCTCCCCGCTATAGGAAGGATGTTGTGAAACTTGAAAGGGTTCAGAAAAGATTTACAAGGATGTTGCCAGGGTTGGAGTGTTTGAGCTATACGGAGAGGCTGAATAGGCTGGGGCTATTTTTCCAGAAGTATTGGAGGCTGAAGAGTGACCTTATAGAAGTTTGTAAAATAATGAGGGGCATGGATAGCGTGAATAGCCAAGGTATTTTTCCTAGGGCAGGGGAGTCCAAAACTAGAGGGCATAGGTTTATTGTGAAAGGGGAAAGATTTAAAATGGACCTAAGGGGGCAACTTTTTCATGCAGAGGGTACTGCATGAATGGAATGAGCTGCCAGAGGAAGTAATGGAGGATGGTACAATTACAGCATTTAAAAAGCATCTGGATGGGTACATGAATAGGAAGGATTTACATGGACATGGGCCAAATGCTGTCAAATGGGGCTAGATTAATTTAGGATATCTGGTCGGCATGGACAAGCTGGATTGAAGGGTCCATTTCCATGCTGTACAGCTCTATGACAATTAGGGGGCAGAAGACATACATCAGGACACTAAGTATATCAAGGAGTGAAGGCAGAACAAAAATTAAAAAGAAATGGATTTGGAACTTGTCATCTTGCCTTACCCATGGTGGACATTAGGGCGTTGTGGGTTGGACACAGGACTGAAGAAATTACTGAGAGACTGGGTCTTAGTTAAACATCTCATTCAAAAGACACCTCTGACACTGCAGCATTCCCTCAGTACTGCAGCGAAGTGTAATATGCTCAACCACTGCTTAGATATAAAATATTCTGACTCAGTTGAGAGTTTTGTCATTACATTAGCTGATAGTACAAAGCTCAGGAAGTGGATGGTAGGCATGGAGCTTTGGGATTACCCCTCCATCCTCTTGGTCTCTCTCCCATCTTGCTCACCTGGCCTTTGTTTCTATCGAGTACATCAAAGTGAATAACTGTGGTTCACCCACATATAGCAAGCCATTTCCAAGCCTATGTATATCTGCCTGAAATAAACTATTTTCAAAATGCAAATGAAAGAAGGTAATTAAAGAAACCAATTTTAAAAAGCACTGGAAAGATAACATGCACAACACTGGATGAAATAAATCACTCAAACTCTGTGAAAAATACACACTAAATAAGTTTGGTCAAACATACATTTGAATGAAGTTAACGTTTACCTTAACATATTCTGGCAGATCAAGGCTCCTCTGTGTGCTTGAAGGTGATTTCTGTTCCACCTCAACGATGTCCAACTGGCTTTGCGCCTGTGGACAGACAACTTCCACACTTTCCAAACTCCCAGACGTTGTGGTGATATCCTGCTTCTCAGTGCCAACACAGGGCTCCAAACAGGAAATGTCCTGCGCCAACTTGATTTTCTTCGTTGCATTTTGCTCACCATCATCCAAGGGAAACGCATCTTCTAAGGAGTTTTTCCGTTTTTTGGGGTTCTGTGTTAACAGCAGCTTGTCTTCTGTACCTTCAGAGGATTCATTTTTCTGTTGACTGAAGTACCACCCTAACCTTTTCTCAGAATCTGAGCACTCCTCAGAAATCCCCACTAATTTTTCACAGAGAGATTTTAATTGCTGCTGAGATTGCTCTGATTGTGAAACAGACTTCAAATGTCTTAGTCCACCTTCTACATCCTGCTCCAGGATATCAAGTAATTTCTGTGTCCACAGATCAGCATGTGGGTTTTGTCTCAACTGGACAATGAGATAATGCAGACAGTCTTTAGGTATAACAGCATTCCCCAGGTGAAGAAATGACAAAAGATTTCTTCTGACCATCGCCGGTAAAAGATAAAACAATGGTTTTCTAAGAAAAACAAACAATAAAACAATGAGTTTGAGTTTTGAGTTTGATTTATTGCTGTTACATGAACCAGGATAGAGTGAAAATTGCTGTTTTGCATGCAATACAGACAGATTGTACCATACAAAGTGCATCAGGGTAGCAGAACCAAGTGTGGAACACAGTGTTTAAAAAATAGCTGCGAGTTGTATTATTGTGAACCCAATTTATCTCAAACACTACAATTTGTTTACATGATTTATTGCCTGAGCAATATAGTTTTGCAGATGCACTGGAAATGCCAGAGGACATCAGGATCACAAAATACTTCCTGATTTAATAAACATCACAATTAATTTTTAATGCTCTAATTATGCACAATTGTACACTAAACACAATGAGCAAAGAAGATGGGAGACTCTGCAGCTAATATCCTACCTCACATTTGTTTTAATGTCCTCTTTAACCACCAATGTTACCCTACCTCCTTTTCCTCTTTGTCCTTCGTAAAAACTGAATACCTCTGGATATTCAGTTCCTGTCCCTCGGAAACCTGCAGTCATGGATCCATAATACCAACTATATCATACCCATTTATATTTGTGCGACTAATTCATCCACTTTATTGTGGATGTTCCACAGATTAAGACATGAGATCTTATGGCTTGTCTTTTTAACTTTCTTAGTCTGATTTGCATTATTTTGCACTGTAGCCCCGTTTGAGTCTCATCCTCAAATTCTCTGCCTATCACTTATTTCCCATTCTTTCTTACCCTCTCTCCTATCTGTCTGCATCAGCTCCAACCCCCTGCCATTTCAGTTTAAACCCTTCCCAAACTCACTAGCAAATACTTCCACCAGAGACATCAGTTCCACTCCAGACGTGGCACGACCCATCCAGCTCGTCCTGATCCTACCTTCCCCAGAACCGAAAGTCCCAGGAATCTGAAACCCTACCAATTATACTATTTCTCCAGCCACAAATTAATCTGATAATATCCTGCTATTTCTAGTCACAAGTGCCACTGATAGCAATTCTGAGATCAATTTGAGGTCCTACTTCTTAACATGCTTCCCAATCCATCTGCCTTCCTAATTACTTGCTGTAACTGGATATTAATGTTTTGTGATTCATGTACCAAAACATACTGTCTCTCTGCACCTCAGAGTTCTGCAATCTTTCTTTATTTAAATAATACACCACTTTGCTATTCTTCCTGTCAAAAGGGACAAGTTTGCATTTTCCCGCATTGTACTCCAGCTCCTAAGTTTCTGCTCACTTACTTAATCTATTGCAGAATTCTTACATCCTCTTCACAACTTAATGGAAGTAAAATGTCATGAGGCATCACTAACAGGAGGGAAGGTATTTCCAAATCAAGGAGAGTGCAAGTGTCACAAGATACGTTTATGGATTTCCTCATCATTGGGACAAGAGCAGATGCCCAAGAACAAGTCAATACCTGCTCTGCTCTCTTGGGATAAAGAGAAAAACAGAAAAATAATAAAGACAAAAATTATGACCCTCAAATCATGAAGTTAGGGAAGAATTTGCACGTGCTATCTTTCACATTGTCACATCATCTCAAAGTACTTAAGGAAAAAGCAGTTTCAAACTGTAGTAACTGTATAAATGCGAAAAAACAGACACACAATTCATAGACATCAAGGCCCCCAAAACAGGTGAGATAAATGTTTTTAGTGGTGCCTGGTTGAGGGATAAATATAAAACATTTATATTTTAAAGGACTCTACTCTTAAGTGTCATACAATCTTTCACAACCATCTGAGGGAACTAATATTGTCTTCATTCAGACACATTAAAAGTTGTATTTTTAAGAGTAGTGTTAGGATGTTAAAAAAGCTCGTATTTATAATTCTATGACTACCAGACATCACAAAACATTCCCAAAGTGCAGTGACTGTTGTATGAAACACAGCTGTCAATACGTACACAGCAAATTCCTACAAACAGCAAGGTGACAATAATCACAATCTGTCTCTGGGATGAAGACTGAGTGATAAATATTGTCTAGGGCACTGAAGTAGATTTGGGATTCTCCTCAAAACTGAAGAAATTTTTTTTTCGGAGATAGTAGGAACTGCAGATGCTGGAGAATCTGAGATCACAAGGTGTAGAGCTGGATGAACACAGCAGGCCAAGCAGCATCAGAGGAGCAGGAAGGCTGACGTTTCGGG